TTTTCAGTGATCAATAAATAGTATTGAATTTTGCATTTTCCATGTCCAAAATCTCCTGACTTGCAGTGCAGTTACACGTGCACTGCCTTATTATTGTTATTGTTACTAGTGTTGGCACTTCATGGAAACAGGGGAAGTGTAAGGAAGAATGCCTTCTTTGGACCGAGGGCAGCTAAACAGGTCCTAAGCAAGAAAGCATGCTGTATCTGTGTATATTTGTAAGTAAACAGTCAAAGCCCAAAATGTGTATGGTTTTTAAATTTTTTTTTTTTTTAATCAATTTATTGGGGCTCATACAATTCGTCACAATACATAGATCAATTGTGTAATGGTTTTTAAATTTAAAAAAATTTAATACAAGCTTAACAGTATTAAGTATACATTGATGTCTGAGTCCTGCATTCAGTCCATGTTTGACAAGCTTCTCAGTTCAAAGTCCTCAGACGCTTCCTGCGATCAAAACCTATTTGCAGATTCACAAGAAGTTATCATCTGATGTTCCATCTTTTCATGTTCTTAATTTCATGTTCAGGTCAATTTCAATGGCCTGTCTTATATCAACTGTCATTTCTGTGATCAAAATGTCACTGTGCATTACACTTTTCACTGGGACAGTGCTCATCTCTGGTTTTAAGTCAATTTAATTCTAATCAGATCTATATGTCTCAGGACAATTAATTCACTTAAAATGTTCTCTGTTCAGATAGGATGGAACCACTTCCCGTTGCTGCTGCAGTGGTTACTGGTACCTTCTAAATCACTAGCATGTGTTGCCTATGAGGCCACTGCCCTTGATGATGGAAGCACTGTGGCTTCTGCCCAATGAACCGAGCCAGGCACTAGCAGAAGAACCAGCTAGGCCAACGCTGTAGCTATCAATGCTTAAGCTACCACTGGTGTTGAATGACATCACCCTCAAACCCTCTACCCCAGCTTCCTCCAGCAAAACCCCACTGAGTCAATGTTCCACTAAGCTGGAGAAAAATCTTTCGCTGTACCTCATTTTATAGAAACAACCCTCTGGGTTGTAGGAGTTTGCCAGGAGTCTTAGTTACTTAACTGTAACCCCAGAGAGGAGTTTGCCAGGAGTCTTAGTTACTTAACTGTAACCCCAGAGAGTGCCTTTAAAGAACAGTTATTTTCTCACTGGTCTGGAGGCTACAATTCTAAATCAGTGTTGCTGCTCTGTTGCTTATTTCCCTGGCAGTAGCTCCAGGCTTCCTGGTGGAGTTCCCTGGCTTTTGGGTGATTCTTATATGGCATCTGTTGTCCTCGATGTTGTGTGTTTATGTGCATGTGTGTGTCCCTAATGTGTTCATTTTGTTACTCTGAACCTAACCTATTGGTGTGGTCTCCTTTCCATAAGACAGAAACTCCTATTTCCAGCCAGTATTAACATCCATAAGCAGAGGAGTTACTATTTCAATACATAATTTGGAGACAGGACGTAATTCATTATAATAATGTGCTTCAGTGTATTTATTTTTGTTGCATTATTTATTTGTTTATTTATTGGAGACAGAATGTAATTCATTATAATAATGTGCTTCAGTGTATTTATTTTTGTTGCATTGTTTATTTTGCATTCTCTTCTGCCACAAATAGAGCTGGACCACCAGATAATTCACCCAAATCATACTCAAGATTGCCCTGCTTCCATGACAACAAACTACTGTTTTTCCAATCCTAGCTTGCATGCCTTACTTTTACTAGAATGAAGTAAAGAAGAGAAAGCTCATAAAAAACTTCTTTTGCATGAACCCACCACTCTGCCAAATGCACTAAAACTGCCTTCACCTATCGTCTCATGAGTATTCTGGGATCTCAGTAGTACTGGCCTGAGATAGAAAGCAAGGGATGCTGGGACCAAGCATCATCACAGCAAGGAAACTCACCTGGCTGAAGGGCTCTCCCTCGAGAAGGGAAGGAATAGTAGACCACTCCACACTATTCCCAGAGGCTGAGCTGTATTCCCTATGATTTCAGACACGAGGACATTTGTCTCAGTGAACAAAAGCCCACCCTGGAAGTCAGATTGCAGCTGTGCCATGGCCTCTGCTGGTGGAATCCCTGAGTGAGGACATGTGGTAAAACAAGGGCTAGGTCCTAGCCCAGCCCTCCTCCAGGAAAACTTTGGACAAAACTTTAACAAAGCAAGTCTGGAGTTGGTCACCAAGGCTGGGCCCTTTGGGAGAGCTGTGAAGGGAACGCCACAGCCTTGACGGGGAAGACGGGTTGTGCAAGAATCGATGGAGGGTAGAGGGAGAGGAAGTAAGATACACTTGCAGGTAGCTGAGGAAATCCAAAGAAATGGAATAAGAATCTCAGAAGCAACATGTGGGATGTGGCACCCACCACATGTTGAAACTGGAGTTTCTTAAAAGCACCTCGTCTGAGGTGTCGAAGGGATCACTGAAGACAAATGGGTGCATAAGCAAATGTGGCGAAGAAAGCTGATGGTGCCCGGCTATCAAAAAGTATAGCATCT